ATCTGAAATCAAATATGGCATGAATTAAAAAAAATAAAATACAGCAATTTAACACACACATAAAATCCTATACAAGTGTCTATAAAAGTCAAAAGCAAGTGAAATTGACCACAATATTCTTCCTAATCTATTCATGGCCAAGATTCTTCCCTTCCCACCCCTCCCCTCCCCTCCCCTCCTTCCATTTCTATTTCTCCCCCCTCACACAGAAGTCAGCTTTCTATGCCCATTGCACATGGGTGGTATTCCCTGTGCTTTTGGGGGTTCTCCCCTCCAACTACATTCCCCCTAAAGTTTGTTTTTTAAATTAATTTTGCTGCTGCTGCTTTCTTGGATGTGAATGGTTACATGTTGGCCACATAAGCATCCACTTGAAAGAAATGAGTTTGTTTTTACTTTCTTCTGTTTCAAAAAAGCAATTTCTTCAATTTAATTGGACTCCTTACAGCAATTGAGCAAACATTTTAGTTGCATAGGGACCATTTCTACTCTACTCTATAACAGGATGTAATTCAGTTGGAAGAGAGAGCCAAGAATGCATGTTTCAACTCTGCTTCTTCCTTTCCAATTTTGTTATGTTGACGAAAAGTTTGCAAGCAAAGTGCATCTATATTCACCTGAAATCGTAACAGTAATTTGTGTGATCTATTACCCTGTACTTTTTTTGCACTGGGTGGGCTTAGTCCCTAAATCTGACTACCAGAAAAAGATAATGTATGCAGAATTTAATACACTGAACTTGTGTAGTAGACAGCAGATGCAGCATTTAAAACAAGGAAGCCAACAAAAATTACTTCCAACACCTGGTTTATTTCTCGTTTATATGTGTTGTTTATTAATTGAGTGTTATGCTGCAATCTTGAAATAAAATAGATATTTTTAAAATAATATCAAAGAGTTCAAATTTGTTCTACTAAGCTTGCCAGCAGGAATAAGCTGTGGCTTATTTGCACCTGTTATCTATCAATCGATCTATCGATCTATCGATCTGTCTATTTATTTTCTACAGAGGATATATTCCCTTGCAAATCTTGTGGCATCTGGTACCGAAGTGAAAGAAATCTGCAAGCTCATCTCATGTACTACTGCAGTGGGAGGCAAAGAGAAGGTGCGCAATTATCAGAAGAGAATGATGAAAGTATTCCACAGATACCTAGCTTCTGCCCTTTTCCACAGTGCACCAAAAGCTTTTCTAATGCAAGAGCTCTGGAAAATCATCTAAACTCTCACAGTGGTAAGTAAAATAGGTGCTCTACTGGAATCATCTAACAGTTTAGACTTAAAGAAAAAAGAACAGCACCAATGAAAAGCAGTGAAAGGGTGAACCAGACAGTGCATTTGGTGAACTATATTTTATGCTGAAGATTGTCTTTTATTGTCCAGTGAAATGACAGCATCTAGCTGACTTCGGCTGATCTTAAAAAGCTTAGCAGAGTCAAGTGGTGTCTGGGTGGGGCTGGGGTAAAAAATGTCAAGCTGCCAGGCATGACTTAAGACCTATCCTTTTTTCACATGTGTGTGACATGCTAAAAGGGGCTAGGCTTCAATCACACAGTTGTACCTACCTTATTGACAATCAAGGAAGAAACACTACCCCAATCAAGGCTGATAGGACAAGCTACCATATATAAACAGCCAGGAAACTTCACTCCCCCATGCACTGATCTTGTTACCTAGTCTGGTAGTGAAATGTCTGCAAGGAGAAAAGCAAGCTTGAGGAACACCAAGAACCCAATAGTTACCACCTGGATAGGTGTTTTCAGGGCAATAGACTAGACAGCAAAGTATCCCAGAAACAGGCAATTATAAACCACTTCTATATCATTGCCAAGAAAATGTGTCAATGAAACAGAAGGAACTTGAAGGAGACTTCATTCGTTGTGCACGCCTACTCTTTCCCTGTTCTGTTTACAACATCAACATTTAATGAAAGGCTTTCCTTTATTTAAAGTAAATGGAAAGTGTTATGGACTAGGTAACTCATTCTGGGCAGTTTGATAGATGATGTGAATGCCAGCTAAATGGTGGTTCTGGAAGTGGCTTGATCAAAGAAAAGCAGTTTCCATAATACGTTATGACTGTTCCTATATAGTTGCTGGAGATAATCTTGAATCTGATGACAAGTCAGATGAGTGTCATGGTCACTAAAACTGGGCTACCTGTAAGTGCCTAGAGCAACAGATAGATATTTTTTACTGAGCAGGACTTATGGAAGTGAGGAATTTTTGCTGCTCCCACTCACCCAGTTAGGACAAAATCTTTCCTGCTTAGCTTTAAGTTTGCAGCTGCTTCTTCATCCTACAGGGATGGTGGGTCCATTAGGTCTCTCTGGAATCTGGGGGATTCTGGGGGATTTTCAAATCCTTAGGGAGCTTTGTGTTGCTGTGGCTGGCTTTACTCTGAAACACCTGATTATCTGTAGGATGCAAAGGAACTGACTCATTGACATGATCACTTTCAAATACCATCTCTAACAAAACAAACAGCTTACTTAAGGTATTGACGGTGATGAAAGAGCTGTTGAGATCACAGTGCATTTATCTAGCAAATTCTTATACTAAACAGTTTTTACTTTGTTATATAGGACCATATCGAAATTGCATAAATAATCTTCCTTTGCTGCCCTCCTTACTTTGCTTCCCACTTGTTTACTCTTCAAGTATGGTCTTGAAGATAGAGTTACGTGGCAACTGTGAAGCTTCTAACTTTTGAACATTGTAATTCTTTTAAGGCACAATGTGTGCTTATCAGTTGGAGTGTTATACTGTGCTGTGATCTTTCATTTTTTGTTTTTTAAGTATTTAATAAAATTTGTAATTGTTTACTCTTTTGTAAATTTCCCTCACTTCTCAAGAATGGATTACATCTTTTGCTGTGAAATAGATAGATGAGAGAGAGAGAGAGAGAGATGAGAGAGAGATACTTATTATGAATAATGAAATATTCCAGTTCACTTGTTATATTATTATTTACTTTTTATCCCTTTCATAGGAGTAAAAATGGAAGAATTTCTTCCCTCTGGCTCTAGCCTGAAATGTACTGTTTGTAACTATACTGCAGATTCCGTTATTAATTTCCATCAACACCTATTCTCACATCTCACTCAAGCTTCCTTCAGATGCACACACTGCCATTTTGGCTTCCAGACTCAGAGGGAACTGCTACAGCACCAAGATCTCCACATTTCTGGCAACAAACTGCAGAGAGAAAGTGATGCTGAGCACTCTCCCAGTGCCAGTGAAGAGACTCTCCAGGCCACGGATAGTTCCCAAAGCCAAAAGACAGTGCAGACAAAGGATGTGAGTTCTGACACTGAGCTTGATAAATGTGAGAAGAAGACTCCTCTTTTCCTTCCAAATCAGAGGCCAGAAACACAGAGCACTCCACATAAGCAAAGTTTCTCATACACCAAAATAAAATCTGAGCCATCTAGCCCAAGGCTTGCCTCATCTCCAGTCCAACCTAATCTTGGCCCTTCATTCCCTATGGGTCCTTTTCTTTCTCAGTTTGCTTTTCCCCAGGACATCACAGTGGTTCCTCAGGCTTCCGAGATCTTAGCCAAAATGTCTGAGCTGGTTCATCGAAGACTGAGGCATGGAAGTAATAGTTACCCCCCCGTCATTTACAGTCCACTGATGCCAAAAGGAGCTACTTGTTTTGAGTGTAACATCACGTTCAATAATCTAGATAACTATTTAGTACACAAGAAACATTACTGCAGCAGTCGATGGCAACAAATGGCAAAGTCACCAGATTTTGGCAATGTTTCAGAAAAAATGCCTGAGGCTGTGAGTCCTAGCAATGGGCAAAATGCAATCAACATTTTGAGTACAACTTCTCACACTTCAGATCCTGAGAATCAACTTCTTCAGGCATCTTGCATCAATTCTTCTACTGTCCTAGATATTATTGGGCCAAATAGTAAGGGTCATGAGAAAGACTTTTCATCACAAGTGAAGAAGCTATCAAATACTGCCAACAGTGATGATAAAATGAATGGGAAACCTTCTGATGGCAAGAACCCAACTTCTACATCTTTAATTGAAGGAGAAAGTGATCCCAACAAAACTACATGTGAAGCCTGCAATATTACTTTCAGTAGGCATGAAACATACATGGTCCATAAGCAGTATTACTGTGCCACTCGCCATGATCCTCCACTTAAAAGATCAGCTTCAAATAAAGTGCCCGCCATGCAGAGAACAATGCGTACACGCAAGCGAAGGAAGATGTATGAGATGTGTCTACCAGAGCAAGAGCAAAGGCCACAACTGGTCCAGCAACGCTTTCTTGAAGTAACTAATCTTGTCAACCCTTGTACATCTTCTCAAGAACCAACAGATAGCCTTGGAGAGTGCTACCACCCACGCTGTGATATCTTTCCAGGAATAGTTTCCAAACATTTAGAAACATCACTGTCTATTCATAAATGTACCCCAACCTCAAAATGTGACACACAACATTCCACAGTTTCCTGCTTGGAGATGGACGTCCCTATTGATCTCAGCAAAAAATGTTTGCCCCAGTCTGACAGGACATCCACTTCCCCCAAAAGATTGCTGGACTACCATGAATGCACTGTATGCAAGATCAGTTTTAACAAGGTAGAGAATTACTTGGCACATAAGCAGAATTTTTGTCCCGTCACTGTGCATCAACGAAACGAAATGGGACATCTTGACAGCAAAGTATTTCAAAATCCAGAAAGTGAACGGAACAGCCCTGAGGTCAGTTATGACCGAAATATCATCAAATGTGAGAAAAATGGAAACTCAAAACAGGCTTCTCCCAACGGAAACTTGTTTTCTACGCACTTAGCAACTCTTCAAGGACTTAAGGTCTTTAATGAAGCCACCCAACTCATTGCTACAAAAGAAGAAAACAAACATTTTCTTCCACAATGCCTTTACCCAGGAGCAATAAAGAAAGCTAAAGGAGCAGACCAGCTTTCTCCGTATTATGGAATAAAGCCAACTGATTATATTTCTAGTTCTCTTGCTGTTCATCACAATGATGGAGATCAAAGTACAAATGCAGAAGGTGATTCGCTGAAGGGCCAAACGCCATCAAATGGGTGTCCTGTTCAGAAGAAAGAATCTCTGCCACTATTGCCAAAAAACAGAGGCATGGTTATAGTTAACGGTGGACTAAAGCAAGAGGAAAGGCCTGCAGGAAACCCACAGCAAGAGAACATTTCCCAGAATCCCCAGCAGCATGAAGATGGACACAAATCACCATCTTGGGCCTCGGATAATAATTTAGCTGCCAATGAAAATGTCTCCCCAACCATTCCTGCAGCGGAAGAACAATTATCTAGTATAGCAAAAGGAGTGAATGGTTCTACTCAGGCCCCCACTAGTGGAAAATACTGCCGGCTGTGTGATATCCAGTTCAACAACCTATCAAACTTTATAACTCATAAGAAGTTTTATTGCTCGTCACATGCAGCAGAACATGTCAAATGAAAATTGCTGGCCCCCGTTTGGTATCTGTGTTTAGTATATTGTTCCATACAAGTCGGAAAGAGAGCTGTTTGTATTACTTCTGGACAATCAGGAGTTAGTTCATTATTGCTGAGTTGAAGACTTTAAAGATGTACTTCCATTACAGTTCATTAGTCACGTGTATTCTTGGTGCCATTTTCAAAACAATTTATTTATTTTACCAGCAGTATTCATAGCTGTAGTTATTTTTAATTTAAAGAAGAAAAACTTTATATTAAAGTCATTTGTAATGTTATTGTATAGTTATTGTGTAGCACATATGGTTTGCACTGTATAGTAGATTTTAAAGAAAATAGTCACAAACTCTACAAAAAGGCATTTTAGAAATAGCTTCAAAAGCACCTGTGTATCCTATTTTTCCTTATATGCTATTGCAGATATGTGTAGATGCTAAAATATAATTTGCAAAACGTTTCAACTATGCTGTAAAGGTCGCCTTAAAATTTCAATTTTTTAAAGAATTTGGCTCAGTTTGCACTTTATATTTTAGCAGATACAGTACCTTAGTCACTAGGCTTTGCATTTGTATGTAGCGGTATGTTTCTGTCTACTTTCTTACCCTGAAACGTCTGTTAAAATGAAGATGGCATTTTTTTTCCCTTGTATAGTACTTGTATTTTCTTTCGCTGATGCATCTCTGTCTCAATTTTTAAACCTTTGCTGTTAAATGCAATACTTTATAAAGAATGAACAAAAATTACTGGAAGCAGTATTGTAAGTAATGAGGTCATATCTATCCATTTTATCTTTTGAAAGGCACAGTCAAAATGAATTTCTTAGCTCAATGCTGCAAGTATGAATCTAATTCATTTATAAGATATATTTAAATATAACAGTAGCAATACTGCAACTGGTGATCACAGAGATAATGTTCTACTTCTGATAGAAATAATTTCTCAACAAATGTTGTTACTATGCATGTATATGGATGGAATAAAATTCCAGATCATCGGACTGGTCAGGCAGTAATTTATTCATTTGAAAAAGCTTATCAAGCTCAATAAAGTAAGTGGCTGGTTGTGGGATAATCTAATATTGTATGCTCTGCAGTTAATATAAGTGTCCTAATAAATGCCATGCAAGAATGGGAACCCACAGTCTGAAGCTGTTGGAGCAAGGAGTTTTTTGCCCTGTTGCTCGTGCCCCGTCACACGTTCCTCCCATTCCTCAATGGATAATTGCTGTGTCTTACTGACTTGACTTCCAGTTTCAACCCTGCTTCTAGAAGGCAGATATAAAATGGACACCACTATACACTGGGTTCTCCATTGACTTTTCGAGCATATCACTGTAAACCAATATAATAGGTCTGTTTTACTGACTGGCTAAAAACAACTCATGCAAAACCGAACACAGTTTAGGACTCCTAATCAACCCCAAGCCCATAGCAAAGCATTTGGAGCTCAGCTCAGATTCACTTGAGGGGTGAACAAAGAGTGATAGAGAAAGGTGGGATAAGCTCCATAGTCCAGAGTTGGCTGGGGCTTATTCCATTGTGACTGGACCTTAGTATGCTCATGGATGACAGGAGAATAAAAGAAAGACCAGCATCTCTTTTGAAGTCCTGAACCAAAGTCCCCCTCCTGAGGACGGCACCTTCCTGCATTTGGGGGCTGCCTTTTTTGTTGCCTGCCCTCGGGAAGGTATTTATTTATTTTAGATGAGATCCTAGATTATAAATAAATACGAAGTTGGTATGTTGCCAATAAATGACCCAATCTAGCATCATCTTTATTTGCAAGAATGTTTCTTGGCTCCTTCTTCTTAGTTTAATGCTTTGTTTGAAAATATGGCACCTGCTCAAAAAAAAAGATGAAGATCAGTTACTAAGCATTACCCTCAGATGCTGTAGGGCAGCGATTTGTAGCTTAGAGGAGGCGCAGTTTCACTGAAACTCCAGTTAAGTCTTTAAATCTTATTATAAATGATTACCAGCTGAATGCTCATAGACATATAAAAGTCCTTGAAAAAAGTATTTTTATTTCTATCAAGGTGAGACTCAGTGTCTTTGACAGAGTTGATGAAAGGTTACACTGTTCTAGAGGGTATAGTTTGCATTCTGGCCAAGGTTCTGTAGCTGGCCTCACCAACCATTATAGCCTTTTTTTCCTATAACCTTGTCCCCTCCCATTGCACACATCAAAAAGCCCACAACAAGCCCCCCCAATTCAATTGTGATTGTATCCTGCGATAACCTATCAAGTATACATCATGTGGGAGTGAGTTCTCACACCCACAGAGAAAAACAACCAGATATCAGGTCTCTCCATTACCAGAGCAAGAGACGGTTGGAAACTGGACCATCTGCCTGTAAGAAAGGGCTGTCCAGCCCATTGAATCACGTGGGTGATAAAGGTACAAAAACTCAGTTCCAACATCAATAAGATATTTGAGAAACAACGGTTGGTGGAATGGTGTCTTAGCTTTCCTACAATAAAAGTCACTTCTGAGAAATTTTTGGATTCTTCTGTGCCTGTTTAATTGGTTCCAGTCCAGCCTGCTGGGGAGAAGACTGACACACTAGCTAATTTCAACTTCATTATTGTTTTGAGGAATATATGAAGCACAGGAAAGTCAAATCAGTAAGAATGTAGCTCAAGCACAGAAACTAAACCTTGGAACTCTGTATTATCCCTACTCAATTCTCAGCTGCTCATGGCGGTCAAATTTAAAGGGACTACAACTCTGTTGTTGCAACTATTCCAGACCAGTTGCTTGAATACTCACTCCTTGAGTCCAAGTATTGGGGGAGAAGTGGGTAAGGGAACACTTTCCCAGGACCTGAAGATTCCAATCCAGGTTACAAGCCCAAGCCCAGTATATGGCAACACCCTGAGCTTGAGCACATCTAAAGAAACTGAGATTTGCTGGAAGCAATCAGAAGCAGCACTAAAATATCAGATGTGTTGGAAAGACACAATTCTTTGCAAATATGGCTGTGGCTCGAGAATTCTAAAAGTTTGTCTCAATACAGTGGATTAGCCCCACACTAGATTAGGCTTTTGAGAACACTGAATTTAGGTCCCCTTTTGGAACAGAGCAAACAAAAGAGAAATATTAAAATATTCATGTTGAGAGATGGGGAGGTTTGCGCTATTCCATGCAACCTGCTTTCTCTCTTATCCACCACTGGCTTTCAAAGTTCCTGATATCTATATGGCACAGCTTTTTATAGAGGAAATAGATATAAATCTTGTCAAGTGTTACATTTACAGTTTACTTGATAGAATTAAGTGATACAGGGAGAAGATGAAAACCAAAGAGCTTAGACTGAATTTGGGCAGCTTACAGCAAGTAAAAACAATTCAAAAACAATACAATATAAACAAACAAACAAACACACCACAGAACACAACCTGCAGCTGAAGTATTAAAAAAAAAGTCTCTGTCCCAGACGCATTTTTATACATTTGCTAAACTAAAGAGTCTGAAGTTCTCTAGCTGCATACAAGAGTATAAATATTCTACACGTGGAGAAGAAGCAGGTCTGAATTATTGTTTGGTTTACGGAGACTAAAAATAAAGGCAGCTTCTTGAAAGATTAGAAGCAGGTAATTAGAAGCAAGTAAAGTAGGGAAACTTGAGGATAGCTTTCAGAATCCACAGCTGAGAACATGTATATATTTGTGGAACTTAGCCCCAAAGTTAACGTTTTTAAAATCTGAGATTCCACCAAGGTTCTGAAAGTTAATTCAACTTTCAGAAACTTTCCATAACCCCTACTTCCCAGACTGGAAAAGAATCTGCATAATCCTGAAGACAACGGAGTAAAGAAAGATGCAAGATGTAATAAGCAGTTAAGGACTAGGCTTAGTGAAATAGGAGCAGTCAAGAAAGCAGCAATTTGGAGAGGAAAAATGAAAGAAGCTCCAGTCAAAGATGACAATCAGTTCTGTCTTTAGGCAAACTGAGGCAGGTGCCTCCAGCAGCAATTCTGGCAAGCTCTCAATCCCTAGAAGAGAGAGCATAAAATAAATGTAAAGGTGATATATATACAGTGTACCAATAGAGGTGAATATGTGTAGCCCAGGGTTGAACTCGAGTCCTTGGGGTTCTCTGAGCTTGGTTCTTTTCTTGCAAACGTTTCATTACCCGGCTAGG